CTCCCTCCCTCCTTCCCTCCTTCCTTCCTTCCTTCCTTCCTTCCTTCCTTCCTTCCTTCCTTGGGCCTTCCACCAGGCTTAAAAACGTGGGTTTTCACTGGAAATCCCTGAAAAACTGTAAGAAACCATGGGGTTTTCACTTTCAAACCCTAAAAGTCCCTTAAACACCCCCCACATTATTTTCTGCTCAAAAACCCTGAAGTACCCTTAAAAACCATTGCTTTTCACTCTGAAATCCTACAGAACCCTTAAAACCTTTTTTTTTTTTTTTTTTTTTAAAGGCCTAAAGGGCCAGTTTGGGGTAGTTGGTGTAGTGCAGGGGTGGCCCAACTTGCTTAACGTAAGAGCCACACAGAACAAATGTCAGCTGTCTTGAGAGCCGCAAGACATGAACAAATACTACAGACATGTTTTAATTGAAAAATATGCAAATTTGTTTTTTTATTAACATTACATGAGACTGTCAAAAATAAAAACAAAAAGGGGCAAAATAGATATTGATAATGATATTTATTTGTCCAATGATATTTGTAGGCTTACTGAACGCATTTGAAGTCAAGGTTGCTTTCTTTCTCTGCTCCCCCCTGCCTCAAGCCAAGAAGGGGGACACTGGTTGGGGAGCAGAGCCTCCCAAGCCACAGTTTGGCCACCCCTGGTGTCGTGGTTAAGTGCATGCGGACTCTAATCTGTGAGAACGGGGTTTGATTCCCCACTCCTCCTCCACTTGCACCTGGCTGGATGATTTTGGGCAAGCCGTGGTTCTGATAAGACTTGTCCTTGAAAAAAAGAGCAGTTTCTCTCAGAGCTCTCTCAGCCCCACCTGCCTCACAGGGTGTCTGTCTGTTGTGGGGAGGGGAAGGAAATGGAGTCTGTCAGCCGCTCTGAGACTCCCTTGGGTAGTGCAGGGTGCGGTATAAATCCAATCTCCTCTTCTTCTTCTTAGTGGTTAATTGCGTGGACTCTAATCTGGGAGAACCGGGTTTGATTCCCCACTCCTCCACTCGCAGCTGCTGGATGGCCTTGGGAAAGCTGTAGTTCTGATAAGAGCTGTTCTTGAAAAAGAGCAGTTCGTGTCAGAGCTCTCTCAGCCCCACCTGCCTCACAGGGTGTCTGTTGTGGGGAGGGGAAGGGAAAGGAGTTTGTAAGCCGCTCTGAGACTCCTCCGAGTGAAGGGCGTGGTATAAATCCAGTCTTTTCTTCTTCTAAAGAACCGTAAAAACCCCTGAAAACCATGTTTTTTGGGGAGGGAAATCTTTAAAATCCTTAAACGTTTTGCTTGGAAAAGCCTATAAATAAGCTTAGGACCGTGGTTTTTCACTTGAAAAACCTTGGCTTTTTGCTCCCAGACCCCAAGAAGCTGGACCTAAAAAGCCCTGAAAAAAGTTTTCCCTGTGAAAAATTTAAAGAACCCTTAAAAACCCTAAGTCCATTGATGTATCATCAAAAAAGTCTAAAACTATTAAAAACCCATGGCTATTCACAGGAGAACTTTTAGCCCTGGGGGGTTTCCTTGAAAACCTGAAGAACCCTAAAAAAAAGTTGTTTGCTTGATACCCCCCATTAATTTTAAACCATTTTTTTCCCTGGAAAACCCTGAAAAAAATTTAAACTATGGGGGTTTTGCTCAAAACCCTGAAGAGCCCTGAACACTGTGGTTTTTTTCACAAGGCACACTCTTAAAAACCATGGTTTTCCCCTTGAAAACCCTGAAGCATCCTAAACAACGTTGCTGTTTGTCCCTCCTGGGCGCTCTTGTGTAGCGCCCCCCCCCCCCCAATGGAATGGAACTTCCCTGCCTCCTTCCTTCCCTCTTCTGCCCAAAATGGCACTCCTGGAGGATGCGGAACCCTCAGGAGCAGCGTGGAGGGTGAATGAGAGGCCTGTGGGAAGAGGGAGGCATTGGCGCAGGCACACACACACCCCAACATGGCCTGGCTCACAGGGTCCTTTTGTGAGTCAGACCACTTTATCACATAGATGTGTGGAGTGAGTGTCTTAATTGGAGAAAGTTGGGAGGGGGCAGGGAGAGGAGGCTTGGTGTGAATGACACCATGAGCGTTTCGAGTGTCAGTTCTCAGTGCAAGTGGAAAAGGGAGCCACTGATGCAGAAAGGCGAGGTGGAGAGTCCCCTCATAAATCAACAGAATTGCCACACATACTGGAGGGTGAGACAGATCAGAGGCTTACACAGATAAGCAAATGACTTAAGTGAAAGTTAACTAATACTGGTTCAAGGTTATAATCTGACAGAAGGTGTTAAGAACAGCCTACTAAAAAGGGGGGGGGTCCTGTGGAGGTATTAGAGATCATGGCGATAGAGGAAACCGCTGTGTTTTCAACCACTTGCATTCTTTTATGGGCAGCCTCCTGCAATTTTTGTGGTGGATCCTTGATGCTACGGGGTCGTGGGTGAGGGTGGCAGAAGAGTGTCATTCGTTAGAGCTAATGAAATGCATCTGGCGCTGTATCTGAGAGACAGATTAGATTCCTGAATAGGACCCTACTAAACTGTGAACTTACTCTGTTTTAGAAGAGTGCTGGGGTACGTCTGTCTGTTTTTGACCGGTTTGCTATCTTGGGACTCAGTCACTTGATGCCCTTGAAAAGAAGGTGCAGTGGAAGTATCTTTTTAATTTTTCTTGCAGCTGAACAACCTGTAGCTAAACAACCATCTCGCCCCAAATCTGCTGCTGTCACCCAAAAAGGAGAGTCTTCCTCAGACAGTGATTCAGGTGAGTACCTTGTACACAAACCTCCTGAGTACCTTGTGTAGAAACCTCTGGATCCTTGGCCACTTTGTGACCTTTTCCTGAAAGTAGGTTTGTTCTTATGTAAAGCAGAGGCAATGAGAGAGACGGGAGACAGAGATCACCTATGGCTTGCTTTTGCTGGGCCTGTGCTTGGCGTGGCAAGCTGGCAATTATTCCAGAACATGCTCTAGATGTTGATGTGTTCAAAGAAAAAAAAAATCTGTCCTTGTTAAAGCCTGCTCTGGGAAGCATGCACAGTTGCCTTATTTAGCGTAACTGTTTCTGAACATTGTTATCCTTTCTTGTCACCTGTATTAATTTTATGGAATGAACCAGACGCCCCCAGCATATGTAGACAGCATTCTTGCATGATGATGTAAACTTTGTTTATGGAGGCGTTCCAGGCTTTAAATGTGATTGAATTGAGTCATTTTCATCTTTAAAACACTAAGTATTTTTTCAACACACACATCTGACCATTTGTGGAGCTTCGTTTTCTCTGCCATGGGCCCATGACCAAGGCCTGCAGGTTGCTGTGCCGCACTAACCGCACCCCTGAATCACCAGTGGGGTCATATACAGAAGTGGCACCCTGGCCGCTTGCCTCTTTCCTGGCTTAGGCCCCAGACAAGGTGACGGCTGCATAGCCGAGTGGTGGCTTTGTGGCCACCGGGAAGAGGGGAGGCTGCCTGTTCTCCGTCCCTCGCCTCCTGCCGCCCCCAGTGGAACTGAAGGAGGTCTGAGCAGAGGTTTCTGTGCTCCCTTTTGTTCCTGCTGGGCCAGGAAGGTGGTTCTTGGGTCTAATTCCTGGAACCTGTGTCAGGCGGGATTTGGGGGGGGGGGAGAGATGTGGGAAACTGTTGCCTCTGTTAAGGGCTTTCCACTTGTTCACTGTTTGATCCAGCCCCGTGTTTCCTCTGTTTCCTGGCAGCCGCTTGCTTCCCACCCCCCCACCCCAGTCCTCATGAACAGTTCAGTGTCCACGTGTGTGCTCAGAGTCGTTGCTGAACTCTTGATGCTGGGTGAAGACTTATTTAGTCAGGCAGTGTGGAACTTGAGTCTTTTTTGAAGGTGTCATTGGCTGATTGAAATATATATCTGTATGTAGTTGTATTTTGCAAGCTGTCTTGAGAGCCTGCATTGGCTGAAGAGTGCGAGGTATCGCATTCTACTGACCATTTGTTCATTTGTTTCTGAGTTGAGTCTCCAGGGGTAGGAAATGGTCAGTAAAATCAGTAAAAGTCAGTTTTTTCATCTTGGTCAGTAATCTGTCAGTGTTTTTAAATAATTGGTCAGTAAAGTCAGTATTTCTGTGATTTTTCTGAATGCAGTTTGTGTTTTTCCGGTTTCATTACAGCATTTTTGGGGAAACATGATGACTTCCCAGTGAGAAGACAGATTGTTTTCAGTTTAGTTATGAAGTACTTTAAGGATTATGTTCCTAAGAGTAAAGGTGATTTGGTGAAACCTTCCACAAAGTATAGACACATAATTAACCTCTTAAAACATGAGACAATGAAAGTAGAGGTGATGGATATTGTGGGATTCAACATGGCACAGCTCATGCTAGGAGGAGTTGAGAAAGCAATGGAAGAAGAGGACAAGGGGGGGGGGAGAATGCCCTTGGATGCAGTGCAGAAAACTGTTGAGAAATGAAAGAGTTCGTGAATAACTTTATTTATTTATTCAATTTATACCCCGCCCTCCCTGCCGGAGCGGGCTCAGGGCAGTTTACAAAGAGATTAAACATATAGGTAACAAATTATATACCATCTTAAAACAAATAATAAAACTCTACATTATCATAAAGTGCTAGTAAGTGATCAGGTACTTATAAGAATGCTTACAGAAGGCGGAACCAATACTAGTGTTGTAATCAGATGATCTATGTTGGTGGTTGGCTCGTCTTGGTCTCTATATTTAGGCAACAGCACCGGCTGTGGGTGGTAAGCCAAGGACCAGGGCACTGTCACTTCTCAGTTATTTGATGTTATTTGGTGTGGCTCCTTAGTCGAAGGCCTGGTGGAAGAGCTCCATCTTGCAGGCCCTGTGGAACTGTAAAAGGTCCCGAGGGCCCTGATCTCTTCTGGGAGCTCATTCCACCAGTACGGAGCCACCACTGAGAAGGCCCTGGTTGTGGCCAGCCTGGCATCTTTAGGACCTGGGAGGCCAATCGATTTTGTGACCTTGAGTGCAGTGCTCTGTGGGGAGCATATGGGGAAATACGTTCTTTCAGGTATGTGGGCCCCTGACCATAAAGGGCTTTAAAGGTAAGTGCCAGCACCTTGAAGTGAATTCGGTATGCCCCCGTCCAGTGAGAGGCTAGGCAGATGCTGGTAGGCGGTGGTGGCAGCAGGATTCGGCTTGACCGGACCCCCTCCCCCCCATGCACTGGAGTGGCCGGCATGTCCATTGTCTGGTCACAGCCTGGCCGGCAACCGAGCGGGCTCGAGCAGTGGCCAGATCCGGTCGAGCCCCCCCCCTTGCTGGAGCAGCCGGCCCGTCTGTCTCCAGGTTGCATGCAGGCCGGGCGGCTACGTGCATGCGGGTGAGGGCGGTGGCAGCAGGATCGGGCTGAGCCCCCCCAGAGCGGGCGGCCTGTTGTCGAGTCGCACGCAGCCCGGCTGGCTACACGCACTCGGGAGAGGACGCCCATGGCAGTGGCGCGCTGGGGCTGAGGCCCCCGCCCACTGGAGCGTCCGACTTGTTCGTCCGCTTGAAGAAGAGTGAGGGCGAGATGCCGGGTGCCGCCACAGCGGCCACAGCGGCCACAGCGGCAGCAATGCAGCCAGTGGAGACAGACGCCCTGTGACTGACACACCAGGGCACCAACCAATTCGGGAGCGTGTCAAATGTTCTAGAGAGTTCCACCACCAGAACGCTTTTATTATATAGAGAGATTTTTAAAAAGGGAATGGGTTTTTTTGCCTTAAATTTAGTACAATAACAAAAATATTGTTCTCTATTCATAAAAGAAATTCAATAAAAATGTGTGCAATCCTTTTATCTGGGTCACATCTAACTATGGGGCTGGTACAGGCCAGATAATAATAATTTTTAATGAAGTCCTAATTTTACGTTTAAAACACTAGCTTATCAGTAGGCTGACATTAAATTGTTCAGTAATTTGTCAGGTTTTTTGTCAGTATGTGGTGAGTTTTTTTGGCATTTTGGTCCGTAAAATCAGTATGTTTGACCCTCTGACTAGTTTCCACCCCCGCGTCTCTTAAGGGACCTCAGATATGCTGATGCAGGTGTGGGTCCTGTGTTTTCCTTGCACAGATTCCAGCTCTGAGGAGGAAGAAAAGAAGGCGCCGATCAAGCGCTCTGCCAAGCCTTCCGCAGCAAAAGGGATGGCTAAACCAGCACAGGCGAAGCGAGCGGAGAGCTCCTCTGACAGCTCAGGTATGGCAAGGCGTCTCGTTCCCCGTTGGGTGTTGGCTGCTCCCAAGGGTGCAAATAATATTCTGTCTTTGGCTGTCTACAGTCAGGAGCACTGCTGGAGTCCCCCACTAGCCAGAAAAGAATACTTCTCTCAAAACCTGGAAGGCTTTAAGGACGTAAGAAGAGCCCTGCTGGATCAGACCAGCAGTCCTGCCTCACCCAGTGGCCAATCAGTTCCCCTGGCAGTCCAGCCAACAGGGCAGCAAATTCTTGAATGCAGAAGTAACATTTATTAAGCTCACACCAAGGAAGTTCGAAAGTTCCCACTCACAGACAGGCTCGCCTCCACACCTACCTAGGCGGGCTTTAGATACAGCTGATGAGAATCCCAACGGGGTGAATGAGGTTCTGCCCATCCCTTGCCCTTTGCTGCATTTTCCGTTATGTCTCAAGCCCCTCTTATCGGAAGGTTGCGTTGCGGTGGGCTGATTCTGGAGATTTGATGGGGCCCGATCCAGGGGTGTCTTCCGGATCTTGGTCAGCAGATACCAAGCCAAGGTGCCACGACAGGAGGAGGAAAGTGGGGGGAGCCATCACGCACAAAGGCCCCTTTGAGTTCCCTGCAAACTGGGGGAGTCTCTCCTGGTTGTGTAGCTCATGGTTGCTGCAGACAGTGAGCAGACTCATTTGCGCGGCTGTGGCATGGCTCTACGTGGGCTTCGAGCGGACACAGTCCCACCCAGCCGCATTCACCCGCACATTTTGTGATCTTAAGCCTGGCATTCCGTAAAACAAAAATCAGCTCGTAACAGCAGACGCCGGCTAACACTGCATGTCGTTTTAAGTAAAAGAAAGCATAATTGAATCAAGCATGGATAATATCCCAAAAGGCATCAATTAGGTAAGCCGTTCGTTCAAAACACCTTCTGGTCCTCTCACTGCTTCAGGCCCCCTCCTCCCCACGTGAGGTCGGGTGGCACCCTGAGAAATGGACTTCGCCGCTGCAGCCGCACGGGGGGAGCGTTCTTTCCTCTGGGAGACTGGTCCGCCCCCTGGTATCCTTGTCTTCCACCAGTGGGTTGAAGATTTTTCTGTTTGATTGGCCATCCCCTCACCCACCCTTCGTGTTGATGTTTTTGGTTTTACTGTTTTAGTTTACGTATATGCAAGATCCATTTTTAAAGTACGTTTTAATGTTTTTTATTGTTTGCTGCTTTGAGGACTTCTCCCAGTTGGATGGAAAGATGGCATAAAAAATTCAGAATAAAATGTAAATGGTGCGTGCTGTCTTGGCAAGCAATTCACAACTATAGATGCTCAAAACTGTATATTATATTCATTGATGTACAAAGAAGGGTTAGTGGTCATAACCCAACAGAATGTATAGGCATATATCCTACAGATTGCTCATAACAATTAAACATATTTTACACAAAACAACAGTCGGCTCCTCTGTAATTCTCTACATAGAAACAGAAAGTAACCGCAACAGAAGACACCCACTGTGGAAAGAATAACAGCCATACGTCTCTCCCAGATATAAATCAAGGCATTTCAATGATCTTCAACAGTGGCTGGTAAAACAGAACTGTGAATCGATCATAAATGCACATAGAAAAACAAGATTGACTACGTAATGGATATATCAATTCAAAAACATAGAAAAAATGTTTCTCACTCCGATTTCCAAAATAACATAGGCATCGCTCAATAGCTTCAGTGGAATCCGAGGGCTCTCTATAAGGCAACCTGCCACGCAGCATTTAACCATATACAAATCAATTGCAATACAGTTTCTTAAAGTGAACCTGACACATTTTTCACAAACATGCCTGAGTTTCGAATATACCACATATAATGTTCTATTCAATTGCAATCCTCAAATAAAGGCAGCAAAATCAAGCGTCTGATTAATTCCATTTGGTGCGAAAGTTTTAAATTCAAAAATCAATCTAGACTCCGTTTGCAATAACATTTGAATTGATATATGCATTATATAGTCAACCTTGTCTCTATGTGCATTTATGTGCATTTATGATTCACAGTTCTGTTTTACCAGCCACTGTTGAAGATCATTGAAACGTCTTGATTTATACCTGGGAGAGACGTATGGCTGTTATTCTTTCCACAGTGGGCATCTTCTGCTGCAGTTACTTTCTGTTTGGAGGTCTATGGACACTGTGTATAGAATTACAGAGGAGCTGTCTGTTGTTTTTGAACACGTTCTTTTTGTAGAATATGCATAATTGTTATGAGCAGTCTGTTGGATATGTGTCAAACACGGAACTTGGTTTGCCATGGATTTTGCATGTTCCATTTCCACTGCCTGTAACCATACTGTTTGAATTCTGAATTGGGGCATGGGGGGGGGGGGGGGGTTAAGAGTGTGTGTGGGGAGGGGGCGGAACTGCTTCACTTGGCTGCTTTGTAACTGTTTTCTTAAGAGGCCTCCCAATGTGGGAAGTATGTGAAATGACCTTGGATGCCTGTCTGTTAGCCGGCCTATCGTAGATAATGTAACTGTAGGTTCGCAGATGGGGGAGGAGGGCTATCGGAGGGCGCTAGGTTTAGGCGGGCTGAGTGGATGGAGTGATTGGAAGGATCACTTGGGGGGGGCTTGTTTGAATCGTGTATAATTCCAGAACTGGCAAACTAGGCAGTTCTGACACATGTTGGTCTTAGCTTGATACATCCTCATCTCTCAGTCTCACTGCCAAGGGAGTGGTGTTGAGAGCAAGCCTGTACATTCTATTGGGTTATGATGACCACTAACCCTTCTTTGTACTTCAGTGGATGTAGTGTACAGTCTTGAGCATATATAGTTGTGAATTGTGGGCGGCCTTCCCTTGGTGGTGGTTATTTGTGGCCGTTCTTGTACGCTGAGGGTTCCCTGTTGTCCTTGTCGTGGTCTTGGCAAGCAATAGCAAGGGCGTTGGCCTTGAAACCCATCCCAGGCCCTTCCAGGCAGGCCTTCCTAAACCAAAGCCTGGTGTGTCGGAAGGGAGTTTTATGTATCCTTCATTTGGATAGTGATAACTTTGAGATGCGGGGTTGTCATTCCGCTTGCATGTCCGTTCCCCCAAACTAAAACCAGTGAACATAGCTTGGAGGGGATTTATTGAGTGTTTTGCGGGGGCCTTCTTTTGCTTAATCTAAACATTTCCCCCTAGATTCTGACAGTTCAGAGGAAGAAGTTCCATTGAAGCCTGCGGTGAAGCCAGCTCCAAAGAAGGCAAACAAAGCCAGCAGCCACTCGGGTGAGGGTGAGGACAAGAGAACCCCCTCATCCAAAGCGGTCTCCAAACGGAAGGCCCCCGACCCCAAGTCCAGCAGTTCAGACTCCGAGAGTTCAAGCAGCGGAGAGGCGCAGAGCAAGCCCGTCTCAAATCTGGCTGGCAGGTCCCCCGGAGCCCCCAAAGCAGCTGGCAAGAAGCGGGCGGCGGGTTGCAGCAGCAGCAGCTCCTCCGATAGCTCCAGCGATGACGACGATGAAGAGCCTAAAAAGAAAGGAGGCAAACTAACGAAGGCAACAACAAGCGGAGGCGACAGCTCCAAGAAGCCCAAGGCCTCGTCCACTCATGGAGGGAAAAGTCCTTCCGTGAAGCCTTCCAGCGGAGCTAGTGCCACAAAGCACCACGAGAGCAGTTTGGATGAAGGGGCGGTAAACGGAGGTAGGTGGCCAGCAGGGAAGAATGTTCAGAAGACAGAGTGCGTGCGTGTGCGTGGGGGAGTGCCTCGCACTGTTAATGTTATGAATTTAGCCTTTCTCCAGTAATGCCATAGTGTGTGTGGGGAGGGTCCGTTATCGGGCACTCATCCAGTGCACGCCATTCACTAGATTTGCATCAGCCGTAGTCTCAGTTGTGTACCCCACTTCCAGCAAGCCTTTCCCCTCCTCCCCCATCGCAGTTTAAGTCGTGGGCTGCTACGTGGCCTGTTGGGTAGATGGGATGTGGTGGCCGTGGGCTGCAATTCTGATAATGCTTGTTTTATGTATGTGGGCAACGAGTAGGCCTGGCAGCCAAGAAACGAAAAAGGGAAGACGATCAGGTGTTGGAGACCCCTGAGCTCAAGAAGAGCAAAGTTAAGCCAAAGACACCCCACTCGTTCCCCAAGATGAAGCGGGTGAGTAATAAATAAGGGGGACCAATGAGGAATGTTTTGTGGAGAGTGATTAGAATGTGGAATCCCCCTGCCAGAGGGTGTAGTGATGACCACAAGAATAAACAGCTTTAAAACGGGATTAGACAGATTCGTGGAGGGTAAGTCCACCAGTGGCTACTGGCCAGGGTGACTCAAGGGTGCCTCCACCTTCAGAGGCACTAAGCCTCTGAATCCCAGAGCCAGGAGGCAACATCAGGGGAAGGCTTCGGCCTCTCTGCCCTGTTGCTGGCCCTCCAGAGGAACTGGCTGGCCCCTGTGTGAGACGAGAGGCTGGACTGGAGGGACCCTCCCTGGTCTGACCCAGCAGGGCTCTTCTGGTGTCCTTATCAGGGGAAGGCCTCGGCCTCCACGCCCTGTTGCTGGCCATCCAGAAGTACTGGCTGGCCCCTGTGTGAGACAGGAGGCTGGACTGGAGGGACCCTCCCTGGTCTGACCCAGCAGGGCTCTTCTGGTGTCCTTATCAGGGGAAGGCCTCGGCCTCTCTGCCCTGTTGCTGGCCCTCCAGAGGAACTGGCTGGCCCCTGTGTGAGACGGGAGGCTGGACGAGAGGGACCCTCCCTGGTCTGACCCAGCAGGGCTCTTCTGATGCGCTTCTCAGGGGAAGGCCTCGGCCTCTATGCCGTGTTCTTTGCCCTCCAGATGAACTGGCTGGCCACCGTGTGAGGCGGGAGGCTGGACGTAGATGGACCCTCCCTGGCCTGACCCAGCAGGGCTCTTCTGAGGTTCTTCTCAGGGGAAGGCCTCGGCCTCCACGCCCTGTGGCTGGCCCTCCAGAAGTACTGGCTGGCCCCTATGTGAGAGATGGACCCTCCCTGGTCTGACCCAGCAGGGCTCTCCTTGTGTTCTTCTGCCTTCCTCTGGGCATAGGGTAGGGGTCACTGGGGGGGGGGGAGTGAGGGGAGGGATCCCCGTGGGATTCCTGCATTGTGCAGGGGATTGGACAAGCTGGCCCTCTAGGCTTCTGTGTGGCATTCTTCTCCCTGCAGTTCCTTTATCTAACCAAAGTAATTCCTTTGTGAACAGCTACAGTGTTGTTGTTGTTGGGGGGGGGACTATAGGGCTTGTCACTCTTCCATCCTGCCCTTCTTCCAAGGAACTCAGAGCAGCATAATGGTTTTGCTCAGTTTTATCCTCACAACAGCCCTGCGAGGTCGGTGCAGCTGAGAGCTCAGTGACTGGCCCAAGGCCAGCTTCCACGGCTGAGCAGGGAGGGGGGCGTGGCGGAATCTCTGCCTCTTGATTCGCCTCCTCCTCCCACCTTTCTCCCCAATGGGGATGCAAAGCCAGAAGCTGGTTTGGGAGATTCAGAAGCAGTTTCTGGCCTGGAGGATGAGTGCAGGATCCTTAGGCTCATGTTCTTCATTGGTATGACAGCTGGGGCCATTTTCTTTCAACAGCAGTCAAGTCCGTTCCGCAGAGTGAAAGCAGAAGAGGTTGAAGTGGATGCACGGGTAGCCAACAACTCCTTTGACGCCAAGGTAAGAAGAGGGTGTAGAAGCCCACGCAGGGAGAAGTCTGTGCACCGCTTTTGAGGCTGAATAGGCTGTCCAGAGACTGCTGGGAGCCGGAAGCCGGTGGGTTGGGAAGCTGTCCTCGGCTGGAGGCCTGTTGTCTTCCTGGCCGGTGGCCACGGTCTCTCTTCCCTCTCTCCTCTCTCCCAGAAAGGAGCAGCCGGAGACTGGGGGGAGAAAGCTAACAGTGTCCTGAAGTTTACAAAAGGCAAATCCTTCCGCCATGAGAAGACGAAGAAGAAGAGGGGGAGCTACTGCGGCGGCACAATCTCAACGCAGATAAACTCCATCAAGTTTGAAAGTGATTAAACGCCGGATGTGTCTGTGGACCGCTCCCAGCCTGAGCATCCTGTGTGAGGACTTGGAAGCAGGGTGGAGAGACCCTCTTTGCCTGAGGTTGCCACTGGTGGCACCCTGTTCCATGGCCACCGGGGGACAAGGGCCGCTTCAGAGGAGACCTCTCGCCTGATCACACCCTGCAGGGCTTCCTCGGCTTCCAGTGATGTACTTTTTTATTTTAAAAGGAAAAAAGCTCTTGCTTTCCTTATAAAGCAACGAGCATATTTGAGGAAACATTTTCGCTTTTGTTTTTAACAAATACAATATTTTAGATAATGCCCCTATATGACTCCCCGTTATCCAGTGTTTATTTGACAGGGAACTAAATCCGTCCCCATCCTTTTAAGTGGCCTGTTTTGCTGCCGCCTTCTGCTTCTCCTCTGCAGCCCTTGGGTGCTCTTTGGTCTTTCGTGAGAGGCTCCTTTGTGCCTCGCTGAAGAGGCAGGCGGGCAGGCAAGCTGTTGGTTCCTGTTCTTGTTGTGATCTTGTCTTTGGGGGGGGGGGGCATTCTGAAAGCATCCCCCTGCCATCCAAGAAGCCAGTGACTTGCAGAGCCCACGGGCATGGGTAAGGCTCCTGTTTCCTTAAGTGGGCTGATTTTTGTGCCTGTTGAAAACCATTGGCTGCCTGAAATTTAGATATTGACTTCAATACTTTTCATGGACCAGATGTTAAACACGCAGGTCTGTTGCCTTTGCCTCTGCAAAAAAACCAAAACCCCAAATGACATAGCTGCAGAATGAAGTGCGGTTCTTACGTCTTTGTCAGTAATCATCTGACACCGCTCAAGAGACGTCATAGGCCTCAGTGCGCAAGCTGTAAGAATTATCACCGCCTTGTCTGCCGGCAGTGTGCCACAGTGGCCCCTGCTTCATCCTGTGGTTTGTGCACCAAATAGTGGCCAATAATCAAAGAACAGAGGAGGGCAAGCTATCCAGGTGAACGTCTCCTCAGATGGTAAACATTGTTCCTTGGCTGTACATCTACGGGCTTGAGGGGGGTGTTGTATGTTTAAATGCTGCACGGCTGAAGCCCTTCTTCATCCCTCTGGTCGTGCATAAAGGGGAACTCTCAATCACGCAGTTCCCTCACCTCAAATCTGGGATGGTACAGTCCAGGCACAGCCTGCCTTTTTGTAGTTCAACATCCTTTTGTTGCTCCCTTTTTCTCACCACTGCAGATAACGAGGGGAGGGGGAGGGGGGACGTCTTGTGTCTCTCTCTGGCGGGCTGGTCTTTTCACAGCCGTGGCTGTTAACTAGTAGTGTGTCCTTTCGGGCGGGATTTCAGATGTCAAGGCAAACCCAGCCGTGTGCGGAAGGCCGGGAAACTCTACTTGAATTGACAAGTGTCTCGTACAATAAAAAGTTTGTAAATGTTGGCATGATTTTGTCCAGATCTACAATGGGGATGGGGTGAGGGAGGAGCGAATCATTTACATAAGCCTCCTGATAGGTTCTTAGTCGGACAGTTTTATGGCCTCAGCTAAGGAACAGTAAAACGGTGGTCAAATATATTTGCAGGATTTTAACTTGCTATCCTGCCAAAGGACCAGCTGAAGCCGCTCGTAGCAATGAACAGTGAGCGCGTCTTGTTACAGAGGGTCTCTCCATCCAGGCCTGTCTGCCTCTCTTCCCTCCAGCCTCCTGGGTGGTGGTTTGTTCCGCTTCAGAACGCATGGGGGGGATTCTTTTTTTAAAAAAATGCTGTCCTATATGACAACTTGCCAAGTAGGGCGTATGCGAAGTTCAAAACTCATCGCTTCCCCCAGTTGCAGGAATCTTTTCTTGTACGGAGGAGTCATTCCAAAATGTCCTCTGCCCATTGAGCCTCCCACCAGCTCATGCTGGTGGCCACCCCATGGTCTTGGCCGTGGGATGGCTACTCGGAGGTGGCTTGCCATTGCCCGCTTTTGCATAGCAACCCTGGGCTTCCTTGAGGTTCCCCCGTTCAAGGAGGAGATGATTTCTCCTCTGCCCTGAAGGAGGCAGGCGTGTCAAGGAAGAGTCCATGGAGGACCGGGATTCCCGGAGCATCTCCCACTTCCTCCCACCGCCACCGCCCCATTGCCTCGAGGGGTCAAGGGTTCTGCGTCTGGCCTGGCTAACCAGGCGGTGGTGGCCACATTGGCCTTTGTCCGCAGCTCAGCCTGAAGACGGAAGGGAGCTGAGCGGCCTCCTTGTGGCCATCGAACCTGCAGGCGAGCCGAGCTGGCTGTGCAGTGGTCTCGCTGCCTTCTCCTTCCCCTGCTTAATTCTAAGAAACAGCAAGGCTGTTATGCCCGGTCGTCTTCCCCTTCCCCTCATTTACGAGACGCCTCGCCAAGCTTCAGAAGGGAGGAGTTGATGTGGCTGTCGTAGCTCGGCTTGTCCTCCCTCTGGGCTCTGAGAAGTACTGAGAAAGGAAGTACTTCTTCGCCCAAAGAGTAATTATCTCGTGGAATTCAGTGCTGCATGAAATGGTAGTGGCTCTGAGCATAGACAGGGGGTTGGGTAAACAAAACGGAGCAGAGGTCCATCAGTGGTTATTAGCCGCAAGGTATAGATGGAACCGGCCACATGACCACGGAAACGTCTTCGGACAGCGCTGGCTCTTTGGCTTGGAAATGGAGATGAGCACCGCAACCCTAGAGTCGGATTCGACTGGCTTTCGAGCAAGGGAAACCTATACCTATAGATGGAACACTCTGGGGCAGGGGGGCTCTTGTCTTCTTGGTGCTGGGGGGGGCAACAGTGGGAGGGCTTCTGGAGTTCTGGCCCCACTGATGGACCTCCTGATGGCACCTGGGTTTTGCCCACTGTGTGGCAGATACTGTTGGCCTGGATGGGCCGTTGGCCTGATCCCACATGGCTGCTCGTATGTCTGGGGCAGTGATGCTCTGTCTTCTTGGTACTTGGGGGGGGGGCAGAGTGGGAGGGCTTCTGGAGTTCTGGCCCTGCTGGTGGGCCGCCTGATGCCCACCGTGTGACACAGAAGAGTGTTGGACTGGATGGGCCATTGGCCGGATCCAACATGGTTTCTCTTATGTTCCTAAGTTGACTTGGTCTGAGAAGGAAGTCCACAAAGTCTGTGCCCAGTCCTATAGGCGATGCAGCAATAATGACCTTAATCTGTCCTCTGCTGCGGTCCCAGCAGTTCTAGATTTCCTTCAGGATGGTCCAGAGATGGGCCCTTGAGCCCAGGACTTCTCCACAGTGCAGAACGTGGCCTTGCACTGTATTCGGTCCTTACCAGGAGACCTCGCCATGTGTCTGCACTCCCAAACTTAGCAGTTCATTTGAGAGGCTGCTTTGCTGGCCCATCCCGTAGTACCCTGACGTTCCACTGGAGGCTGAGCTTAGCCCAGGGTATCTAAGTAAGTAAATCCTTTGACACATTAGAAGAAGCTTCCCTGCTCTGGTGGCAGGCCCAGTCACAGCTGATTTATGGTGTCCCCCCCCAAAAAAAAATGGGGTTTTCAGGGCAAGAGAGATTTAGAGGCGGTTTGCCCTTGCCTGCCTCTGCGTAGCAACCCTGGACTTCCTTGGGGGGGAGGTCTCCCATCGAAATACTAATCGGGGCTGACCCTGCTTAGCTTCTGAGATCTGATGAGTCCAGGTCCGGGCTCTATCCTTGTCACATCTAGCACGGCCCTAAGATGCCTTTTTAATAAAAGGAGGATGCAAATGGGTTACACCTATTAAAGATAAGTCCTCATGACCACAGTTCCCTCTAAACTGTGCTATGGTGCACTGTTAGCGTATGAAGCGTCTAGTAACCACACGTACCAGGTTGCTAGTGCTGACTATTCACAGTGGATTTATTTACACAGATATATACATAGTTCATCTAGCACTCTCCAACTCCAAATCGCTGTACAATCCGGCAGAGTGCTCCGCAGCAAGGCATTCACAGAGTGAACACCTCTACAAGTACTTTACACTTATATACATGTTCAGCACCAATCGGTGATCAGTGCTGACTCATGGTGACATCATTTTAGCTGATGCAACTGAGATGCAATCTTAACCTGGTGACATGATCATATGACTCCTTCTGCTGTCAACCAGATCAGAATCCGAATGATCTCCACCATTTATTTTCTTAGGCTGTCATCTTGCTTCATACCTGATAGTATGCTGACACGCACTGGCACACAACAATTTTTTTAAGCTCTGCTCACAACCAAGCTTCCATAGGAAACAATGTGGATGGGGGCAGTTTATTATTTATTTATTTATTTATTTATTTCGCTTTTACCCCGCCCTCCCCGCTAGGCAGCCTCAGGGCGGCTTCCAGGAACTGACAGGCAGTATACATTCACAATAAAATATAAAACATCAGTTAAAACATAACCAGTCAATATAAAACATTCATTAGATGGCGATAAAACTAAAGTGCAATTTAGGGACACATTCGGCGGTACCGCCGCATTAGCTCGTATAGGATTGGAGTTCGCCACAGGGCGCTGCTGGTAAGACATCGCTCCTATCGGAACGCCTGCCTTAAAAGTTCTGTTTTCACGGCCCTGCGGAACTGTGACAAGTCCCGCAGGGCCCTGATCTCGGCAGGGAGCTCATTCCAATAGGATGGAGCTACAAACGAGAAAGCCCTCGTCCTGGTTACCATCAACCTGACTTCCTTAGGGCCAGGGAGGTCCAGGCGGTTTGGTGTTGTGGTTAAGTGCACGGACTCTAACCTGGGAGAACCGGGTTTGATTCCCCACTCCTCCACTTGCAGCGGCTGGATGACCTTGGCGTCAAGCGGCCACCAACGTTGTGGCAGGTGTTCCGTATGTCCACAAGCGTTTGAAACAGGCAGCCTGGATTTTCCAGATTTAAAGATACACATAAAATTAAAGTTGTGCGACCAGAAAAATAGTGTATCTAATAAAATGTCCTTGTTTAAAATTATATATAGTTTCTATGGCAATGCAGACAGATGGTGCCCTATCTAACCTAGGCATGGCACAAAGATTCACCAACGTCAGAGCCAGTTTGGTGTCGTGGTTAAGTGTGCGGACTCTAATCTGGGAGAACCGGGTTTGATTCCCCAATCCTCCACTTGCACCTGGCTGGATGACCTTGGGCAAGCCGTAGTTCTGATAAGAGCTGTTCTTGAAAAAGAGCAGTTTCTGTCAAAGCTCTCTCAGCCCCACCGACCTCACAGGGTGTCTGTCTGTTGTGGGGAGGGGAAGGGAAAGGAGTCTGTAAGCCGCTCTGAGACACCTTTGGGTAGTGAAGGGTGGGGGATACATCCAATCTCCTCTTCTTCTTCATGAGAACCATCACTTGGGGCACAACTTCAGGAATAATTATGGCTTCTACTCCCATGAGCTCCCACAACACCCCCCCCCCAGGAATTCAACATGAGGAGTGAAGGAGAAGAGAAACGAAAGTTAAGCCTGAGCTTGACACTTCCCCAGCACCAGACTTGACCTCAGCAGCTGTGGGTGTTGGGGGGGTCAGTCGGGTTGGCCAAGGGCTGTCACACCCACTTCTTCCTCTCCCCCACCTTTTGGGTTGTCAGCAGGCCTGGGGGGAAATGTCCTGGTGTCCGACTCTTGGACAAAATTACTCTCCACAACACTCTCTGGGACTTTGTTTACAGAGAAACAAAGATGTTCCAAGCGAAGACTCTTGCTGTGACAGAACTAAAGTTCTGGTGCCAAAACCCAAAGATATACAAGGTTCAAACAAGCCCCCCCCCCCTTTGGTCCAGTCCAATCATACTCCCCAGTCACCTTGCTCCAGCCCCCTCCCATAAATCTCCCATTATGGGCAGCGAAGCAGGCACAGGCAGTCTCCAAGGACATCCTTGCGAAGGGAGGTGTCTTCGAAGAGTTACAGTGCCACCACAACAGAGTCATTCTCACACATGCACACACATGCAGGGAATTTCAGCCCCTTGTAGGTCCCGGATCTTTGTGAACCACAGCAAAGGAGATCTTGCGTTTGACACCTGGCTCTTGGATACATCCTGAGTGTGTTGAAGGGAGTAGCTGCAGCTCTGCATGTTGTGGAGCTAAATGACATCGTGTTAAGGTGCTCCTTGAGAGAGGGGACACTTTTCTCCTTGCCCTGCCCTAAGGCGAAATAAAGTTTGCTGAGGGGAAGGCAGAGTTCTTCCAAAGTAGTTCCTGGGGAAGGAGAGGACCAGGCTCCAGGGTTCAGATCCTAAGTCTCTCTCCCCCCCCTTTTGAACTTTGACCTATGGGGGGGGATTAAAAGGTGACAAACTGTGCCATTGTAGCCAGCCTGCACGTGTTTGTTGGGGAAGAACAGGCATCACAGGAAAGCGCGAGGGCAGTTTTGTGTCTCCAAAGGACGCCCCCACTCCAGTTCTGTCTGTGATCAAAGCGGGTGGGGGGGGGAGCTGCCCACCCCCACCCACCGGCCGGGCTGTCAACATCCCTGCGAAGTCCCACAGCGGAGCCGACAGAAGGGCCTCGGCGGACAGGCAGAGGACGTGTCCGTCTGTCCCCGGACGGCCCACGGGCACCATGATGGGAGCGCCTGGCCACACCGTTCCTGGCGCCAGA